CGATAAGATAAAAGATAACTCCCTTAAAATGTATCGAAAACTGATTATCCGTAGGTGTAAACACGATTTTTGTGTCACACCCTTAGCTGTGGTGTCAACCTCTAAGAACACCTACGTGACGTCAAAAACCAACTACTTCTCCCCTCCTTTGAATTCTAAGGAAAAAACTGGTTTCATGAAAAAAAAAGAAAATATTCTTAAAATAATTTTGCAATCATTATACATAATTTGAAAATAAAAGGAATTTTTATACCTTATGTTATTTAAACATAGCAGAAATGTTTTATTTTCTTAAGAAACTGCTTTAAAAAATTTATGTTTACTTTGATTGTGCTTTAAAAATTATTTGAATAAGGAAATATATGAATGAAAGTTAACATAAATTTTCAAATTTTAATAAGTTCTACTTTACTTAATAGTTAGGTTAAATGAATATAAATAAAAAAAAGTTATGAAAATTAAGTAAAATATTTGATTTTATTGAAAATTATAAGATTATACATGTTACTGTTTTTCGTTTAACTTTTTATAAAACCTTGGCCTTGGCCTACTATTGGCTATTGTGTCATGGATATATTGTTCTGTTAAAACTAAATGTAGGTATATTAGTATAGGGCTTGAATTGCCGAGTGTCTGGCGCTCGGTGAAACAGGTTTCTGATTCCAGTCCCGGCGGTGCCATGGATGTGATTTTCTGGGAAAATCAGTGCTACATTTAAACGTAAAGATATTAAATTTGGGAAACTTACTTTCGATAATGATTTGTAAAACTCTATGAATGGCATATTTAGCTACTTTGGTTTGCTATTTCCGTCGATTTATGTTTTGTGGAAAAAAAATAGAGAAATTAAAAAGATCATCAGTCCTTTGAAAAAAACGAAGGAAAAAAATATTTAATCAAAGTAGGAAAAGAGATGGCTTTATAATATATATTTCTTTTAATTCGCCTCTTACCGGCAAAACTAAAATTCTATCCGCGGACCGGATAGAATCTTCCGGCGGGCCGGACTTGGCCCACGAGCCGTAGTTTGCCCATTCCTGGTATAGGGGCAACTCAGCTCTAGGCACTGTGGTGTAGTAGTAGTAGTAGTAGTGGTATATTAGTATCATAATAAAATGTTTAAAAAAAACTTCAGTTTGTTGTAACAAAAAAACCGCCGAACAGTAAACCGTAGAATGATATTTTCATATAAATAAATGTATTTCAAATTTCATTTGAAATTTAAAAAAGAAAAATGTTCTTTAATTATTGTTTAACAACGAAGATTTAAAGGTCGCATTGTCTCATAATTATGTAGTACACCTTTTTATTTGCGAGTTACATACCATAAAACGAATGTCACCCATCCTAACACCATAATAACGGAATTTAAAAAAGCAAAGAAGATGATGAAGAAGAAGACCTTAGTTATGAAAGGAAGTTAATTCACTCTGACGAGCAACACGCTTACGTTGAAAGGATAATTCCAGCACCGAAAAATACCAACATCCATTCTTTCCCTTCTTAAAGCCCCGTTAACAATGGTTCGAGTCAAGGTCACTGCAAGTGATCTCGCAGGTGCTTCAAGGTAACACTTTCTGCAGGAATCGCTGCCATAAAGAAGCTCACGTAACGCCAGCTTTGCATCCGAACAACAATGACACGTAAACTCGGGGTGAAGAAGAATCCGTTGCTGTTTTTTGGGCGGTAAACGGTTTTAATAACCTTCTCCATTATTTACTCTGGAAGTTTTGTGTGGTTGCCGGCTTAGGAAGTTTGGGGCTCTGCGTTGGTGAAGGGTGTTGTTGAAACGCTTCAATGCGCGTCGACGCCTTCTGTTTCTTTCTTGTTGGAGCCGGGCGAGACTGAATTAGCATGGAGGCTTTAACACCCAACGTCTCGATGTCACACAGAGCCAAATGCAAAATGGTAATGAGTGATGGCGATGACTCAGACTCGTGGTACAGCTATCATGATGTTTTTTATTTACTGTCAATACTGTCTGATTACTGAGGAAAAAGATGAAAAAATTGTCAACGATGAAATCACATGATGGAGCTTCAAAAGTTACAGCTCTTTTATTATTATTTTTTAAAGAAGCTATGCTGCTAGTATATTAATCAGAATACATGACTAGAAAATAGTTTGTAATAAATGTTTCAGAAAGCACCAGTAAAATGCAAAATGGTAATGACTCAAACTCGTCGTACAGCGATCATGATGTTTTTCATTTGCTGCCAATTCTGTCCAATTACGCAGATAAACGAAGGAAAAAATGTCCACGATGAAATCATATGATATATGACTGGAGCTTCATACCAAAAGTTACACCTTTTTTATTATTTTTTTTAAAGAAACTATGCTGTTGGCTAGTGGATTAATCAGAATACATGACTAGAAAATGGTAGTAATAAATGTCACACAGAGATCGAGTAAAATGCAAAATGGTAATGACTGAAGGTGATGACTCAAACTCGTGGTACAACGATCATGATGTTTTTCATTTGCTGTCAATTCTGTCCGATTTACGCTGCTAATAGATGAAAAAATTGTCCACGAGGAAGTCATATGATATATGTCTGGAGTTTCATACCAAAAGTTGCAGCTCTTTTATTATTTTTTTAAAGAAACTATGGCTAGAATATTGGACTGATTGGTATTGGTAATGACTGATGGTGATGACTCAAATTCGTGGTACAGCGATCATGATGTTTTTCATTTGCTGTCAATACTCTCTGATTCTGCAGGCAAACGATGAAAAAATTGTCATCATATGATTTAGACTGTAGTTTTGTACAAAAAGTTACAGCTCTTTTATTATCTATTTTTTTTTAATAGAAGCTATGCTATTGGCTAGTAGATTAATCAGAATACATGACTAGAAAAGGAGGGGGTACAAGAATCATCATAAATGACTTAAAGCTAAATTTTTAATTAGGCATTTATTATATTAATCGCTAGTGTGTGATGTGGCAACAATTCTAAAAGGCTAATCACGCATTATGTTGGGTCTACCCTATCCTGTAAAAAAGAAACCATCTCTTTCTCTCAAAGTCTATCAGTAGGCAGACGGCCTTAGGAAACAGCGAGTTAGTTAGTTAGTTATAAGAATTTGTGTTTTTTAACCATCTAATGCATAGTGCACATTATAACATCTTAACATTTTTAATCTAAAACATTATTTGATCTCATATCCAAGAAAAAATACTTTAAATAATCAAGTAATCAAAGTGCTTGAAACTGTGAAATTTTTCGAGCAAAACAATTTATCTCATACTTAATAAACCACGGTACAGGTTAGTTCGTAAAATAAAATAGTTATGCTATTAAAAAGGAGCCCGCGCTTTAAATTTCTGAAAAATAAATATATTTTTTGTATTAAATTATACAAAAAAAAGTATATAATAACCTAATTATTTTTAAAATCATCTTAATTACGTTTGTGTTTATGGGCCTGATGGCCGAGTGGATAGTGCTCTGGCGCTCGGTACCATAGGTTTTGAGTTCGTGTCCCGGCAGTGCCATGCATGTTTGTAGTGGTTTGGAAACCACTTTAAACCATACGTCTCGGTCTAACGGGGTTTGGAAACCACTTTAAACCGTACGTCTCGGTCTAACAAGATCGTAGAGCTTTGCGGGGGTATTGTTACTCTGCGTCCGTAGCTTATCTTCAAGCTACACGCACCTTTTGGGTAGTGCTAAGTGAGTAACTTCGGTGCAGCGCTTGCCTTAGGGCATCAAAGACAACTGTTTGAGTGTTTGCCAGCTGCATTAGAAAAAAAAATATTGTGTTTATTTTTTTCTACAGAATTATTTATTTTAGAATAATTTAAAAATAATTGCCTTTTTAAAGAGTGCACAGAAAAAACATTTTTTTAGAAATTTTGTTAATAATTTTCAAAAAATTAAATAATAGTAAAGTAACTGAAGATAAATTTATCCTTCAAGCCATAGTTAAGAATTTTTAGACATCTTCAAAAAAGAAAAATATTAAACCACAAGAATGACTGCAATATTAAAAAAAAAAAAAAATCCATTATAAAAAATAATTATTTTTTTTAAATAAAAATATTTAAAAGGTCATATTTTGACATAGATATGTTCATTTTAAAATTTTATGATTAAAGGCCAAAATTGGCTTTTATTTTTTGATTATTTTTCATTTTTAAGATTTTCAGATCTAGATTCAAGAGATTCAACGAAATGAAACCAGGAGATATGAATGAGATTAAGTTTAATAAAAAATTTTAACATTTAAGCATTACAAAATATTTCACAAATATTTTATCGCAAAAATCAGATTCTTTGTCATTCTGAGTGTAGGATTGCTATCAACGTATTTCTATTGATATGAGAAAATTTATACGTGTGAGTAGCTGGTTCAGGATTGGAGCTTTATGTTTTGAAATGTTAATAACTTCTAAACTACGCATAATTTCAAAAATCTTAATAAATCATCGCATCTTCTAAATGATGATTAAAAAATTCTAGTGGGAGGGGGAGAAGGGAGTAACGTACCATGTATTATAGCAAGTAGGTAAGGGTGGTAGCAAAGCTGGTGCCCCGCGCTCAGTTCCCGCTTTTATATCTCGGGATACAGATGTGTTATTTGAATGATCAAGGGCTAATTTGAATGTTCTAGATGAGATCTAATTAAGTTCAATATTAAAAACCACAATTAAATAGAAATCATAAGTGGGAATCAAAAATATGCGAGATTTTTGTTGACATTTATAATGTTGTTTGTTTCTTATCCCACTTGGCTGGCCAAGCCCACGAGCCCATACGTACTCATGATTGAAGGGGAAGGAAGCAGCTTCTGTTGTGATGGAGCACCCGTAGGTAGAAGCCTGACTTTTGCTCCGTGATGCTCTTACAGTCATAGAAGACCGGGACCTACGGCTTAAAGTGGATTCCGAACCACTACAAACATCCATGGCACCGCCGGGATTCGAACCCGAAACCTGTGGCACCGAGCGCCAGAGCGCTAGACACTCGGCCATTCAGGTCCCAAATTTGCCAACGGCACTCAGTGTTCCCAGGTGGTCACCCACCCAAGTACTGACCGCGCCCAATGATGCTTGACTTCGGTGATCTAACGAGAACCGGTATATTCAGCATGGTACGGCCGTTGGCTGACATTTATAATGTCGACTTATAGGAAAAGAAGGGGGAAGAGAAATTCGACAAAATGTATTGCAGAAGTAGAGGGACTCAAGACAATTCTAAAAAGACTCAAAAGTCACAAGCAAATAAAATACGTGAATACAGGGCCAAAAGTCGAAAGGAATTCATTGTCACCAACTTTATATACTCTTCTCCAAACCTCATCTCTTTCACCTACCATTTAAAAAATGGAGGGTGAAACATCGGTGGGTCTTGTGTATACCACGAACAACCCACCGACAGGGGATGGGAGATTTGGTTTGTCTGGTTTGATTTGATGCTCTACGGTCATTTTTTGCAGACTTTGGGCTAATTAGGCAGAGACCTACAGTTTAACGTGAATACCGAACCCCTCACAAACATCCGTGCCACTTCCAGGATTCGAACCTGAAGCCTGTGGTACAAAGGCCATAGCGCCAGCCAATTGGCCAACAGGCCTCGGTATAGGGACAAGACAGTGCCTCAGGGACAATTTTCTTCTCATTTGCGTGTGTGTGAAAGAAAACCCTGAAAACTCCCACCAGGCATTGACTGTCGATGCGACACGGTTTTGCCCACATTTCCACAATCACGATGGAGTCTCTTCGTTTCAGAAAGCATTGAACCGCCAACAACAATACCGCCAAAGGATTCGAACCTCAGCCCTACCTAAAATTAGCTGCGCACTGGGTTTCCACTGGGCTACGATTCGGGCATCAACGAAGCCTCTACCTTTAGAAACGCTCCATCGACTACAACTTTGCCCAGAAACAATAGTGAGTTGCAACCCAAAATTTATGTAGTTTACTTTAGTTACTACAAGCCCATTGTGCATACACTATTTCAATAAATGTCTACATTCTTCATTCATTCTTTTGTTTCCTTATTTCATCCACTGTTTCTGTACTCTCCTCCTCCTGTAAATCTGTTCACCGAGATGTTTTCTTTATCTTGATGTGACAAAAAACATGCCTCCATTATTTGTTTTATATTTAGTACATTTACTTGAAATAACTTGCTCCATTTTAAAAATGATGTTCTGAAATACTTCATTATAACGCATAAACTTGTATGAATCTTCACATATTTGTGAGCAAACATTTTAAGCATGTATATAATAAAAATTAACTATAAATAAAAACTTTTGAGCCTGGCAACTATAAAAATTGATTCAAATACTTAAACACCGAAAACAATGTAAAAACACGTTCCAAGTTCTTTGTTTTCTTTTATAATGATGATGATGAATGAAGTGGTATATGGGGATGTGAAGCAACAAGGACTATAATCCCCTAATCACTATATATATGAACAGTTAGTTTTTCCTTATTTTTAATATGTCATTCTCCACAACGCTCTACGATCGTGTTAGACCGGGACCTACGGTTTAAAGTGGATTCCGAACCACTACAAACATCCATGGCACCGCCGGGACTCGAACCCGAAACCTGTCGTACCTAGCGCCAGAGTGCTAGCCACTCGACCATTCAGGCCCATTTTATTTTATATTAAATAAAAAAGAAATGAAATATAATGCTAGGCAATTTTCGAGGTAATTTCGGGTGTATGTATTCATGTATGGCCACAGGCTTAGCTTTCTGTGCTATGAAAAAGGAGTGTGAAAGTAATTTTTAAAGCACTGAATATGTTGGAAGAAAAAGCATCAAGTTGTTATGCCTGAATATCAATATTACTGAAGATTATGTAATCAAAATGATCTTATTTCCTTGTTGGTGTCAATGTTTTATTTCTTTCAAATTCATCTGAAATAATTCTTTTATTAGGAATTTAATTACTATTTTTGGTGCAATACCGTTTCGCTTCTTTTAAATAGCTCAGAACTGTTGTGTGTGTTAGACTTCTGCAGTACAGTAGCATTATAAAAAAAAAGTTCCAACGCTGTTGCCAGCTTGAAAGCAACTTGTCCGTCTGAGAACTGTTCAGCAATCGATTGAGTCGATTTCCCATTGATCTGTATGGGATTCGTCGCTTTGCTTACTTACTTAATATTTTGCTTACTTACTTTACTTACTTGTTAAATATCGTTCTGAGTATTCCTCCCCTATCATAAAATTGTGAAAAGAAAGCCTTATATTTTTGACAGAAATGTAGGAATTTATTCATTATGGGTTAACTTTCTGTGGTACAGATCACATCATTGTTGTTAGCTTGAAAGCAACTTGTCAGTCTGAGGACAATTCAGCAAAAGTTTTGATTCTTCTGCTACTGATTTGTATGGAATTTGTCACTTTACATTGTATTGAAGAATTGATTGAGTATTGCTCTGAGTATACCTCTATCATAAAATTGTCAAAGGAGTACTTATACTTTTTATAGATACGTAGAAATTTATTTATTTTTATGGCTTAAACTTCTGTCTTAGATGTCACGTCGCTATTGCTATCTTGAAAGCAACTTGTCCGTCTGAGGACAGTTCAGTAATTGGTCTACTCACATTGATTTATATGGGATTCGTCGCTTTGCTTACTTACCTTGTGTTGAATAATTGGTTAAATATCGCTCTGAGTATTCCTCCTCTATCATAAAATTGGCAAATTAATACCTTACCCTTTTGATAATTGGTTAAATATCGCTCTGAGTATTCCTCCTCTATCATAAAATTGGCAAATTAATACCTTATCCTTTTGATAATTGGTTAAATATCGCTCTGAGTATTCCTCCTCTATCATAAAATTGGCAAATTAATACCTTATCCTTTTGATAATTGGTTAAATATCGCTCTGAGTATTCCTCCTCTATCATAAAATTGGCAAATTAATACCTTATCCTTTTGATAATTGGTTAAATATCGCTCTGAGTATTCCTCCTCTATCATAAAATTGGCAAATTAATACCTTATCCTTTTGATAATTGGTTAAATATCGCTCTGAGTATTCCTCCTTTATCATAAAATTGGCAAATTAATACCTTATCCTTTTGATAATTGGTTAAATATCGCTCTGAGTATTCCTCCTCTATCATAAAATTGGCAAATTAATACCTTATCCTTTTGATAATTGGTTAAATATCGCTCTGAGTATTCCTCCTCTATCATAAAATTGGCAAATTAATACCTTATCCTTTTGATAATTGGTTAAATATCGCTCTGAGTATTCCTCCTCTATCATAAAATTGGCAAATTAATACCTTATCCTTTTGATAATTGGTTAAATATCGCTCTGAGTATTCCTCCTCTATCATAAAATTGGCAAATTAATACCTTATCCTTTTGATAATTGGTTAAATATCGCTCTGAGTATTCCTCCTCTATCATAAAATTGGCAAATTAATACCTTATCCTTTTGATAATTGGTTAAATATCGCTCTGAGTATTCCTCCTTTATCATAAAATTGGCAATTTAATACCTTATCCTTTTGATAATTGGTTAAATATCGCTCTGAGTATTCCTCCTCTATCATAAAATTGGCAAATTAATACCTTATCCTTTTGATAATTGGTTAAATATCGCTCTGAGTATTCCTCCTCTATCATAAAATTGGCAAATTAATACCTTATCCTTTTGATAATTGGTTAAATATCGCTCTGAGTATTCCTCCTCTATCATAAAATTGGCAAATTAATACCTTATCCTTTTGATAATTGGTTAAATATCGCTCTGAGTATTCCTCCTCTATCATAAAATTGCCAAATTAATACCTTATCCTTTTGATAATTGGTTAAATTTCGCTCTGAGTATTCCTCCTCTATCATAAAATTGGCAAATTAATACCTTATCCTTTTGATTTATAAGTAGCAATTTATTTATTTATTATAGGTGTATTGTGGATAAAACCACTATTGTAGAACAGTATATAAAACAGAGGTACGATACATCCATTGATCATAAAGTTCTTTTGAATTGTTCAAGAAGAAAGAAAAGAAAATGAACGCCATTGATGCTTCTACTGGACGTGTTCGTTCTAAATTATGGTGAAAATAAGTGAATGGAGGTGCAGTCGCTTAAAGCGTAGATAACGCTGAATCTACTACACCTGTGCTATTCTAATGGCTAATGACTTGAACTCAGAGCTGCCATAATTTTAAAATTAAAATTTTCTAAAATTTCATTATTTGACAAAATTTCAAACTACTTAACAACTTAAAATGTTGCCAAATCAAAATGTTCTTTCATTTCATTTTTTAAATATCTAAAACTAAAATGTCTTAAATTTAATACTTAAATGATATTTCAAACTCATATTAATATCCTTAAGAATTAATGGGCAAATATGGATTTATAACCAGTTTAATTGAACTAATTTTGTATTTCGTATCATGCTGACTGGATGCAAAATAATTTGTTTTTTAACTGTAAAAAGAAACGTGTGAAAAATAAGGAAAAACTATGTAAACTAAGCTTAATTAACGTTGACATTATAATAAACAGTTTACAAATTTATTCTTGTTGCTTTCAATAACGACTAATTTTGTTTATATCAATGACAATCAAGGTTTGTAAAAGAAAAATAAAAAAGTAAGAATTTGCGGAAGGTAAACCACTTGATTAAATAAATCCACAAAGAATTGATTTGATTTTCCTAATTAAAAATAGACAAATTAATGAAAATGACTTAACAAATAAATATAACAAAACAATAAGTACCAATGCCTGACCAAAATAATTGCAACTGGAACGGTGTCCGATATGTCATGTCATTGAATTCGTTCTTTTTTTAATTATTGCTAGTTCACCTTGTTAAACAACGTATGCATACAATGCATTGTGCATTTAAATGGATATTAAAGACGGGTTTTCACTGACTATTACTTATCAAGGTAGTTATCGACTTTCAGTTGACAATAACATGTACTGACATAGCAACCTAATGATGTTGAGCAGATCCAATGTAGAAATGCTTTCTGGAGCGGCGTAGAGAAAAAGTATTCTTGTAAATCAATGCCTACTTTTGCTACAAGTGCAGTGAAAGACCTACATTTCTTTACAATACAGTTTAGATTTTTACAGGACATTTATCAATTGAAAATG